TTTATATTTTTGTATTTTAATTAAATTTTATTTATTTTGCACGCTCAAATGCAACTGCATTTCTGTGCTTATAGCATATTTATTGTAACATTGTTTTAATATTTGTAAATTTTGTAAACATTCTTTAAACAATAAATATTATTATTATTATTATTATTATTAATTATACAGAATTCCGGCCAAAAATAAAACCATTTGTTATGTTTTAATTTTTTAATAGTTCTAGCAAAACGATTTCTATTATCTAATTTATTTCAAAGGATCAAATTATACAAATAACATTATTAAAAAAATTAAGGATAACAAAAATCTAAAGGGACAAGTTTTCATGATGAATTTATAGCGCGCTACCTCTTCTTCGTTAGCAAGCCTCGTTATTAAATTCTATGGAAATTACCTTGTATGTAATTTCGGTTTATTATAACAACCTATAGGTATAAAAAAGTATGTATAATCTTTGGTGTGCTTTTATGTACAAAGATTTCAATAAAGCGGTACAGACAGTAAATTATGAAAAATCTCAGTCAAAACGAAATTCTTGTCAAATTTAACCTTGAATAACTTTTGATGGAGTGAATTTAGCCAAAAATGTTAAGAGGCTTTTTTTGTAAAGCATTTGATTTCACATAAAAACATTTATCGGTTTTTTATGGCTACTGATTTTTACATGAATTTTAAAATTCCAAAGTTAAAAAATCAAAATGTAAAACTATACCAATGTTTAGGGCATGATTTTAAGGAATTGGTTCATCTGACGAAAAATTTTATTTAACCTTTTTTGTAGAGCATTTAATTTTCTTAAAAAAATATATTTAAGTAAATTTTGTTAAACTCAATGGTTTGGGAGTTCTAAGACATAAACTTGATGAGGGAAAAAAATTAAAATTGCGATGATAGACCTCTTAATATTAATATTATGGACTCAAACTTTCACAATATTTTTTTTTGTCGCTCAAAACCATATTTTTGATAAACTTTTCAAAAAAAAAAATATAGTTGATTTTTTTGGCCCAGTCTATTGTTTATTACCTATAAATAGTCGAAATAATAACGATAAATTTACTTTAGTAAAACTTTGTGTCAGGAATAAAAATATATTTAGGATAAATAAACAATGCTTCTGTCCCATATTTAATTATTCTTTTTATTTGGGAACCATAAACTTTTTTCTCAGTGTAGAAACCTTTTCAGAAGAGAAGAAAAACATGGTTTTATTATCAAAATGGGGCTGTGATGGGTCGCAACAGATACAATATAAACAAAGATTTACAAACAGCACTGACAGCGATGCAAATATTTTCCAAAACTCACTCGTTCCCTTAAAATTGGTTGTTAGTGTTGATGGAGAAACGAAGAAAATTATATGGCAAAACCAGTTCCTTCTTCAGCTAGATTTTGCAGACCAATACGCATTAATTAATGAATCAAAAGATGTAATTCAAGATGAAATAGCGTTAAAAAGAAAAAAAAAAAATTTGAATGCAGAGTTGGTGGGATTATCTTTTTTTGATTCCACCATTACAGACGATGAAAAGTTTTTAATGGCTAATAAATTGGTCAGTAGCACAGATGAACCATCAGAGCACGCTAGGGTTGTAAATTTAAAAGTTAGGAAAGAAAAATTAAAAGAGGTAGTTGATGGAGGATTGGTAAATTTACTTACGAAAGAAACATTAACTTTCTTTAACCGATTTAATATAAAAACAGATTTCCTAAGACAACATCCTGGCCTCAAAATAATGACTTCCAAGAAGGATTGAAAATTGTCAAAACATTAAAGGTAGTTAATGATATGGCTGAGCGTGGTGTTAAATTAATAACCGACTTAAACAACCTTCTGACTAAAGATGAAGGCCAAAAGCAATATGTCCTGCAAGTTGTAAGCAAATGCCGAGCATTATATCCTGACGTTTCAAAAACTACTTTAACAAAAGCTCTAGAATAGATTAGATAACTATGTAAAATCAACTCATGTAGTTACTATGTCTGTATCTTTTCTGTGTCTGTTTTGTATATACCTAATTTTTATATTATATATTATATTAAAATAAAAAATGTCATTAGATTTATCAGTATTACTTGTTTTTTATTATACTTCTACTTTAAACTCAAAAATATACCAAAAAAGCAAAATTTATCACTTAATAAAAAAATATACAAAGTATGCTCCTAGTGGTACCAGGTCATGTTTTTGGGGCTAAAGGCTGTTGTAACTCGGTTTGACTTAAAATAACAACAATTTGTATATATTACAAATTTTGAAGAATAACATTAGCTTTCTTTTGAGATATTAAGCGTACCTATTTTTATTATTTACCGTTCTGGAGTTATGGCTCCATATGTAAGCTTTTTGGCCAAAAATTTGGATTTTTTCAAACTTTGAGCGACAAGCGGCACGGGTTAACGTCGTTTAATCGAGCTCAAATTTCGGCTAACTCAATATCTGGAAAGGGGAATCGTTTTGTGGGGTCCAGACGAAAAAAATTCCGACATTTTTTTCCACCCCCTATGAGTTGCGGTCACCCTAGTAACCAGTGGCGTATCATAAAAAATATAAAAAATTTCAAATGCCTATATTTTCCTTATCTTTGGGAAAATATTTTTTTAAATATTTTTCCATTACATCTTATGTCAAAAGGTATTCAGTATTTTAATATATAATATTAATTACATAACACCCTGTATTTTTAAATAAACTCCGAATTCCGATCAAATTTTATTTTACTACATTACAAAAAAACGCAGTAAATATTTTTTTAGGCCTTATTATAAAAATTACTATCAAATATTGTATTTCAAATGATTACATTGCAAAAAAATGCAAGAAATAATTTTGACCGGTGCACACGACGCTTCGTAGAAATACGATCGTATTTATTGATAATATCCCTTGCTGTAACCTTTTGGGGGATTTAGGGGATATATTCAAACAGTTTAGTGGATGTTGAAAACACACGTTTTGTCCAATGGCGGATGAATCTTTCTAAAGCTACTGAACGTTAATACTGATAGTCAGGGGCGTGCTAAGTGGACCGGTGTGACGGAGGGCTATGTAGGCAGCATGCCGCAGCACGTGGTCAATTAAAAACTTTTTTAGTTGAGTTATGTATAAATATCATAATTATTTTACACATACCATGCATGCCAGCCTGCCAGCTTTGTTTCTTTTTTCGAGATTGTATATTGTTTATAAGTTTCCTGAGCGATGATAATTTGTATTAGTTTTTACTTTAAGTGCAATGCTATATGTTTTAGCATTGTGTAAAATATTGTCTGGTTGTGTTTGTTGCCTGTTTTTTTTTCAAGAATTTAATTTATACTTTATGTTATTAATTATTAATAAATGTTTGAAATTTTTTAACTTGGTTTTGTTCACCACCCATTTTTCGTGTGTAGTTGGCCGATTTTTCTGAATTTCCCGGGCCGGTCTAATATAGCCAGCACGCCCCTGCTGGTAGTGACCAGTAAGAGTCAAATTAAAATCAAGACCACTCCCCACAAAATAAAAAAAAAAGTTAGAGAAGAAGAAGATTTTTGGTTATGTTTTATTGTTAGTGTTTCTTCCATAGACAAAACACAACTAAAGACGTATAACGTCTAATGGTTTGCTTCGCTTTAAAGCTCTTTCAGGGTTATCTATCGCTTTAAAGCGGCCGCATTATACATTAATGTACCTAATGGGTACTACCAATTGGTTCATAAGGTCGAAAATCGCGTTTTGTTTAATCATTGTTACCGTTTGTGGTTATTTATTATTTTTAAGTTATAACTGTTTATTTGAACTGTTCAAACTCGAAACGAGGAAAGACTTATCGTAACCGTGACCTTGCTCAAAACACAAATTTTACAACCCACAATAAACTACTCCTACAGTGCAAATAAACTTTAGTGCATTGTCTCTACAGTGAATTAAAGGCCACCTTACGGTCACGGAAGTGATAAAGTGAGAAGTGATACCTGGCGGACGAAAACCCAGTGTTGCCAGTGGTTGGAAAGATAAAGTACCAAATTCGACTTTAAAATGTACCAAATTTTCCTTAAATGAACCCCTTATTTAAATGCAATAAACAAAAACGTTTTTGGGCTTTTAGTTTTTTCCCCAAAATTAAATATAGCGCGATGTTGCCAATAGACGAATATGAAAATAAAACGAATAAAGATGCGATTAAATAGGTAAAGAGGCGATTTTGTAAGGCAGGAAGTGGAATCCTAGGAAATGACCGCGTAGTAAGAGAAACAAAGCAACAACTTGATTAAAGATTGAAAATAAGCATGATATTAAAAATATATCAAAATTCAAAAATTTCATGAAAATGTAATAAAATAGTCCTTGAAGTACCCTGTACTACCAAAGCACCAAGGGTACCAAAAAGTTACAAATGTACCACCTCTGGCAACACTGGAACCACCTGTGAAGAAAGGACGATTTTCCTTTAGACTCGTTTGTTCTTAAGGACCCTAGTAAAAAAGAAACAATGTAAAACAAAAAACAACAGCAACATTAGTAACAAAACAATAAAAAACAATAAAACCAAGCCATCACAATTCGTATCGCTGGCATTCACGGGATTATAGCTGAGCAGCACAAAACCCATAAACTTAGGAGACCGGTTTCAATAAACAAAGTGTAAAATAATCGAGACATAAATAAACATCTGGAATCTGGGAACCCAGGAAACCAACCCTAGCTATAATCGAACTAAACAGTCGTTACGAAAACATAACAGACATTTTGGGTAGAAGTGGAAATAACACTAGCCGCCTCGGACGTCTTCAACGTCCCAATTGAAATACCACGAACAGGGTGGGAGACAAGATCTCCGCCAGACAACAATTTTCCTACAATAGTAGAGCGTACAGTGCTCGGATATTTGAATTTCAAATATCCGAGCACTGTACGCTCTACAAATTTTGAAACCCTGTATAGGCTTACTCTGTCTTGCCTAAGCATGCTTTCGCTGTCTTGCCTGCTCTGCTCGCGCCGTCAGTGGGCGAGGCGTATGCTAATTTTGTGGTGGGATAAGATAATAGTTATCGGTCTTCATAAGGGCTTCCCTCATAGTAATACTAATTTCGGGATTAATTTTGGGAGCTACAAGAGAGTTACAATTCTCTGGAGTTGGGTATTTATTTATTAATTCTGTTTTTTGCTCCTTAGACAGACCCTTTTTAAGAATATATTCCCATCTAGTTTGAATTTGGGAATGTATATTTAGACCCTTATTTTTGGCACTCTCAGGTTTTTCCCCTAAACAGTCCACTAACATGTCCTCCTCCTCCTCCTCAACATCTGTACCATAAGAATCTGCTGAATCTAATGATTCATCAGAATCATATTTGCCTAGAAAAAATTTGGTATTTAGATTTAAGCATTTATAAACGTAGTGTTTATTTAAGGATTTTAAAACCTCATGCTCGTCTAAGGGTTTTTAGACCTAATGCAACACCAAGGAATTTTAAACCTTATGCATATAGCGAGTCTTTAAAATAGGGTTTTAAAACCTCATGCGTTTTATTCCGAGGTTTTTAAAACCTCATGCATCCATAAGACTGCATTTTAAGAAGGGTTTTAAAACCTTCTGCGTTTTATCTGAGGGTTTTAAAACCTCACGCATTTTAATATTTGGCTGAACCCTAGGAATTTTTTGGCGAGTCTATTTTGAGGGTTTTAAAACCTCATGCGTTTCTTCCTGAGGGTTTTAAAACCTCACGCATATTTGAGACTGCCTTTTTGGAGGGTTTTAAAACCTCACGCAATTCCTCTCGTGCTTACCTCTTTTTCGCTTTTTTGCACGATGGCCGCCATTTTCTTCTTGTACCGGCAAGCGTTCTAATAACATCTTCTCCAATCGCTCCATTCTTTTCTCCAAATTTATATTCTTATCTTCTTCCGGACCTCTTTTCTTCATTTTGGAACTCATTTTTAGGATTTTAATATCTTAAAGCTTATTTTTAACCGTTTTCGAAATGGCGTGGCTTTTCTTTCGACACTAGGTAAACGTAATGAATGTAAACTGTATTACCGACAGAGCATAGAAGTTAATTCATTTATCTGTAAAATAGTGGCAAGAGTAGACACCAGGTGGCGCTACTGCATAGTAATTAAATATCTCGAGGAACGAGGCTCACAATTGTATAATCAGTATTATACTTTTCTCTCCGTGCACATTAAATTTATATGAGTTTATAATGACATTATATAGACAAGTTCTGTGCAAGCAGAATTCAAATTGAAGTTTGCGAAAATAAGTTAGTTTTGTGCCCCCCAGCCTCCTGCCTCCCCAAATTAAGATAATTCAAATTAAAGTGGTACAATATTTAGTTCACTGAATTTTATCAAAAAATTTCAAATTTTATTAAAAAAATTCAAGTATTACAGATTTTATACCATTTCTATTTTTTTTTAAATTTAGTAAACGAAATAATAAAAACTTAAAATGGTATAAAACCTGTAATTCTTGAAATTTTTTAATAAAATTTGATATTTGTCGATAAACTTCAGTGAATTAATTATTGTACCACTTTAATTTGAATTGTCTTAATTTGGGGGGGCAGGAGGCTGGGGGGGCACACTTAAAAACTAACTTTTTTTTCGCGAACTTCAATTTAAATTCTGCTATCGCAGAACTTGTCTATATAAAGTCATTGTAAACTCATATAAATTTGATGAGGGTCCCATGTCTAATAACTGAGATATGGGTGTGCCCAAAATCCACCAGCCACCACTGATGTAAGCCTAACCTAGGCGATGTAAGCAAATGATTTAGAAAAAAATAATATACAATTCGTATCATACGTGGACGTATTACTATAACTATGGTATCATATATTTTAAATCCCCCACTTATGAACTGACTATGCGCATAAGGTAAAATGATACGGCAAATCGACAAATTTCCCCTCAAAAAAGTAAACAAGGTCATCTATACAAAATATAGCGAATAGGCGGTATATGTGTTGAAGTATGTAATCAAAGGACCAAAACAGCGACTGGCACCCGTCGTACACATTTGAGTCGGCGTAATTGTCCCCTAAACCAAAATGTCCCCCCGTCCCCACTTCCTTTTGTTCCAACTACTACTTCTAAATTTTATTGTCGGGTTTTGAATTTATAAGGGCATTTTTTTAAATTTTTAAAAACGGAACCCACACTGCACATTATTTTAAAAAGGCATACCTTAATAATATAATTTCTTATGGTATATGTAGAAGGTAACAATCTATTTGGTGCAACTTAAGATAGGCAAAACTCAAAATGTCCCCTTTTGTCTGTCCCCAGTTATTTTTTTTGTTATTTAACATAAGTTTATTTTAAAATGTAATAATTGTCATAATAGTATTTTTTCAAAGCTTAATAATTCAAAATTTACCATTTTGCCAACACAAAAGTAAAATCTTAAATACTTTTTATTAAAATTAAAGCTGCCCCCAACATTTTATCTCCTTTCTGTCCGCCTTCTTTAAAATAGTCAAATCAAAGTTAGTTGTCTATTGTTTAAAAGAATCAGGTGCTGTTGTTAAAGAAAGAAACTAGTTTTTAAAATATAACTGAAAAATCTCAAAAAGTAGGTAAATTTTACAATTTGGAAAGACAAATTTTTTTTTTGGTTATAGCTAAATTTACTATAGTAACATATTAAAAGTTTTGTTGGTTATAGCTAAATTTACTATAGTAACATATTAAAAGTTTTGTTGATTTTAAATAGTAAATGTACCTATAGGTATATATACACTCTAGGAAATGTTGTTAATATTTCACTGATTAAACATACAATTTCCAGTAAATTTATTAATTTTTTTTTGACAAAACTAAGAACAGATGGAACAAATTTATCATATGTATTTCCATAGACCTATCCCATAAAACAGACTGTTGGATAGCGCGTGCCTGAAGAAGAGTGGTATCTCTTTCTCTTTTATATAATTAAAAAAAGACGACGTGCCTTTTCACGCACGCGCTATCCAAAAGTCCGTTTTATGGGATAGGTCTATTATTTTGTTTTTCTAAAATGGAATATGCCACAAATCAATTTTTAGCCTACTTTTAAAAAATGTCACAGAAACAACAAAAATTCTGACCAAAAAGGCTGAAATTTAAAAATAACAAAAAAAAGGCCCATACAACTCAATTGATGCAATAAGAGAAAAAAATGTAAACAAACATTGAAGAAAGGGAAAAACACGTTTTTGGGTGCATACAATTTTTCAAAACCCTATTGCCGATGGACTAGCGACGGAAGTAGGTATTCACGCCGCGTGCAAACATGATACAAAGTTTTTTTTGTATCATGGCGTGCAAAGGCAACGCGCCTAGTCAAGTGACCAACCGTACCGGATTGGGGACAGGTTTCAGTTTTTAGAACGTCGCGACGGGCCTCCCCTGATAGCAAAATTTGATTTTAAGAATCTTCTAAGAAGATATGACCCGGAATAATGGAATATTCTTAGAACTTTCCCTTTTTGCTAAGAATGCTCTTAGGGGCTTTTAAAGCATTCAATAGATACCCTTTTAATGATGCAATTAGATTCTTAAAAGCCTCTTAAAACCTTCCTAAAAAGCATCCTAAGAACATTTTAAGAATACGTTTTTGGAATGTTCTTAGAAGGTTTCTTATGGAGCTTCTAGGAAGCTTTTGAGAATATTTCCAAATATATATGTCAGATATCCACGTTCTAATATGTTGTATTCTACATTCGTAAAATTTTGCAGGAGACGACAAATACGCCTCACTGTCATAATATGACAGTGAAATGTATTTGTCGTCCCCAAAAAATTTTTGCGACATATTAATATATATTTATTTAAAAATATTAAATAAACAATTTGACCTCTAAACCATAAGTTGTATGACATTTTTTCATAAAAAGTAAAATTGGAAAATGTTGTGGGATAAGTTAGATTAAATTGAAGTTGAAGATAGTTAGGATTATTATACATAAAAATGTTAATTCAGAACTAAACAATTGGTATACTAATTAATAAACATTTATTTTTAACATAAAATAAAATACATATACCTAGTAAAAGTATTTTTGTTATTGAATATTGTTTTCATTTGAAAATAACTATAAAAAAATATTTTGGATTGTGTTTTTTACTTAGCATTTAATAGAGGAAGTGGGGGTAATTTGGAATACTTAAATATTGAGGCTATGCTTAGCGCCATCTCGTTAAATATGAAATAAACTACTAGAATAGCCTGTATTTTGTGGGCATGTGATTTTGTAGATATTTTGATTTATGGTAGAGGGCCAACACATGTGAAAAATTATTTGTGGGGTAACTAAAACTTTTTTAGTGGTAATTAAATCGGCATTGCCGATTCGGCAATCATAGCTTCGATTTTTATCTTTAAATTAACTTAAATTGTATCCTCAGGTAAGTAAAGGGTTATATTTTTAGTTGTTAATTGTACTTTTTCGATATGTTAAAGCATTTACTTTTTTTTACATATTATGGCGTAGGTCTTTATATTGCTAATTTGGAATACCATAAATAATGCAAATTTTAAATATTCCAAATTATATTCATTTTTTGTAATATTTGATAATCAATCCAATTTTCTCTTTTAATTAATATTTGGTTACCTTTTTAAAATGTTTTATTAACCTTTTTAATATAAAACATTTGCTGCTACTTTGAAATATTCCAAATTGGTGGTATTCCAAATTAACTTCATGTTACGTAAACAGAGATTTTTTACACTTTTTTTTTCATTAGTGAAAAAATCCTTTTAAAGTATTTTAATTAGTTTAAAATTTTCGTATGGCATAGTACAAATGTAGATCTTGGACATGTTATTTATTTTAATCGAAATAATTTAAATTTAAATTTTTTGCTATTTTTTTTTAAACTACTATTCCAAAATACCCTCACTTCCTCTACTAATTAGGTACTTAAGTATAGGTATATACCTTTATACGTAGTTTATGGTATATTTTACTATTATACAGGGTGTTATGTAATTAATGTTATATATTAAAATGGGTTGCTCCCTAGGGTCCATAAAGAAGCACCTGAAACCTTTTTTTTCTAAATTCCAAAGTCTAAAAATAATTTATAATAACCTTTATCCTACCAAAATGTACGCCACTGATCGACTAGGAACTTTAGGCTAATCTGGTTGCCTAATTTAATTTATTATGTTATGGTTGGTAACAACAGCGTTTCCAAAATCTATCAAAAAAGTTGACAAACATTGTTTAAATTTAGCTTAATTACAAAAAATGACAAAATTAACAATGTAAATTGTCAATTTGGCGTTTTTATTAATTGTTGGTTATGTCATTTTTGTACTGAAGGTAAATTCAAACAAAATCTGCCAACTTTTATGACAGAATCTAGTGCATTTCTTTCAAATTTTAGGATATGTGCTCAAATTGTAAATATCTTAACTAAGGGAAGTGATTTTGGATTTATTTACACAAATTAAATGTTTTAAGTTTAACCTGTGAACTGGTCCCAATTTCATCTGAGTAAACAGAAAGAAAAAAACTGATGAAAAAATTAATTTTGTGGTTATGGGTTTTTTAAAATAGGTACTAAATTTTCTAATCATTGCTTAAGCTTATAGCTGGATGAGTAAATAAATACAAAAGGGTATTAGAGCTTTAAGAGCATAAAACTTTTGTATTTATTGAGTTTTTATTTATTTTTTATTTTTTTTTTATATTAATTTTTAGTAACAATTTTTTACATCTGGCAACGTGCAGCCACTTTGTTGGTTGGTATCTATGTACTCACAGAACACAAGTGTGCAGAGATAAACCAAGTGTGTAACCAGTGGCGTCCCTGTTGAAAAACCCGCATAAAAACTTATAAAAGTTCTATAATATTTAATAAGGATGTATGCGGTTTCTTAGTTTCTATAAGGTTTTGTCTAATTGCTCATAAGGGTTTTATCAGAATTCTATCAGTCTT